AGCGGTTGTGTGTGTGTATGAAAACATTTAGTCAAGAAACATCTAAGAGCCCACATTGTTGTGGAACACACCACAGCCAAGGGCTTGTTAGAGTTTTGTCCTATAGCTGTTGTATGGGTCTATTCCTAAGTGTGAGCCCACTGTGTTAGGCACTCTGCAAACACTGTAAGAGACGGCCTCCGCTATTAAAACCTAATACACTAAATATAGACAATGGTATAGGAGACAGAGGTGCAGATAATATGGTCCGGGCAGATCAGTGTAAGAGCTTGGAATGAGCTGCTTGCTTCAGTGTAGCTTCTCCTCTCAGCCATAAGTTGCACCACAAAATATACCCGTAACTGCCAGCTTTTATCATCTGTTTGGCATGAGCATATCACAAAGCTGCCAGGAAAAGTTTGGCAGGACTTACCACCAAGTTGTGGTTACTTGTCACTGCACGAAGTGCACCCCCCTCACCCCCTGGCTGATTTCAGATGCTGAAAGGAGAAGGAAAGCTTCAGGATTTAGTAAAAAAATCCAGTCTCTATTTAACAGCCAAAGATACCAGCCACGTGATACCTGAATCCTTGTGGCTGGTGAGGAGGTGTTTTTGATGTAGGAGAGGGGAATGCAGAGCCTCCCATCAGAGCAATTCAGAGAAGCAGCTGGGAGCACCGACAGCAGCTCTTGGGTCAGGGTTTGTGGAGGAGAGCAGCGTGCTCAGGGTGCTCTAGGCCGGGGACAAGGTCCGGTCTTATCTGTGTGTCAGTCACATCCAACACAAAGCATTAATTGCCCATGCGGAGGCAGGTGGTCCAGGGTCAGCTGTGAGATTTGCAATCAAAGTAGGTATTGTCTGGCAGGCAGGACTCCATTTGCCTTTGTCATAACTGCATCACACTGCTGGAACATAGTTAAGATCAGTAGCATTCTGTTTTAGAGGATGAGGTTCTATTTGCTGTAGTGGTTTTGGAGTTTTTTTACATTTTGGGTGAGTTTCAGTCTGTTCCCTCTGTTGCATCTCCCATGCTGCAACCTCTGCTCTCCTCTCTGGCCCACTGATTTTAAATTCTTCAGAAATGAGAAGTGAGTTCCAGAAAGGCAGGCAGAGAAACTTTGCTAAAATCCCACAAATTCAAGCAGATGGAAGGGAAAGTAGTCTTAAATTAACACAAAATTACAATCAGTTCTAACCATTGGCAATCAAAGGTAAACACCATTCTTTTGCTATTGATTCTCAATGAATATATGCAATTAAGCCTACCTAGTATCTTCATGCTCATCGTATAGTTGACTAATTGCTGGGCTTGTGGAGTTGTTAGTTGCGTTAAGGATCTGTTCAACCTATCATTTTTACACACACTCAAAAAACCTACAAAATTGCTAGGATACTAGTTCCTGCTTACATATCCTGCAAAAATAATAACCAAATTTTAAACAAAACCCTGAAAATAGTAACATTGTATCTTGTAGTTTCTAGACAAAAGAAATACCATTTTGTAAAAACCAAAAAAGCGATCATTTAAAACACAGAGCATTTTTCTTCCGCAGAAATGTAAAACAAATAGAATATTTAGAAGAAAATTACTTCTTCTGTACCATCTTTACCAAATACATCTAGATTATTTTGATGTATTTGTTGCAGCCAAATATGGTGGTCCATAGAAAACACAAAGATCTTTTCCTGCAGGAGCATTGCATCTCTATTACAATGTGCATAGCTGAACAGAATTTAACTGTTGAGCTCATCGTTAACTCCCTGAAGAAAGAAAACAGGAGATTGCCCCTTTTTACCACATCTGTACACTCTATTTCGTACCTTGCAGTGTCCAGTTCTCTCACCTTCCTTCTCTCCTCTACAGCGTCTGGCATTATATACTCTATATACCTCTTACTCTCAGCGGCATAGAGAAAGTGCTGTTCTTGAATCAAACCTCTCCCAGGCATGAGCTCCGTACAGGGTGCTGAACTCAAGCTCCTTTAACTGTCTCAATTATCAGGTCCTTGGAGACCTGATTCAGTAATACCTAAACTGGAAACATCTACTACATAAACAGCAAAACGGAGATCTGAAATACATCAAAAGGGAGCTAATGTAGGAGTCTCCATTATTCAAGAGATGATGAGACAAATGGGAAAACAATACAGGATAGCTAATTTGCAAACCAGCAAGGCATTTCATCTTGCATGAGCCAGATTGTACCTGCTTCTTTTATCTGTTTTCAGATGATCATGCCAGTAACACCTTGCCGAACCGAGTAACAACCAGGTCAGGAATTATAATCCCAGACCTTATGAGGCAGAGGGTATATTTAGGAAGATATGAATGCAGCAGAGGTGAAAGGAGCTCTTTAAAGTAATTTGAGGGAATGTGAGGTGCATTTTCTGGCTGGTAGGGGCAGCTGGCATAGTGCGTGACACCATCCCAACGAGTCTACTACAGAGAATGGAAAGGTTTTTGATGCGAGTTAATAGTACCGCGTGTACTGGTTGGGAAATGGCAGAGAAGGACAAAAGGAAGCTATAAACAGAGGGGGTGGAGTGGAGGGAGTCGGAAAAACGTCCAACAGAATCGTTGCAAATGAACAGACCATGGATTAGCAATCTTCACATAAGGGCATCAGCTAATTCCTCTCTGTAATGTTTACGACATGCCCTTTCTGTAATACCACACAACACACCCTATCTTGTATCATGTTGCCTTTTGGCATATTCTCACATTATCTCATTTATGACAAGCTGCAGAACAGAGCTGAGGAAATGCCGCACAGCCTTTTCCATACTGATCCCTTCCCGCAGCTCTTTCCATGCCATGTAGGGGCAGTTTCCCAGTTTGTCGGTGCTGGTCATGATGTTTTCTCTTCCCCTGCCAACGGGATTTTTGGGTTCAAGCAGGGGAAGCGGAGGGCGAGGTATGAGGATAATACCTGCAGCCGGGACAATGACTTTGGGTCACTGCCTGAAGCTTTCGGCACAGCAAGAGCTACAAAATAGCTCAAGCGTGTCCTGGGTTACTTTGATGGAAAAGCAGCTGCAGTATATAAATTATCTAATGGACAAAGCTTAGTTTCTCTGATAAATGTGAGACAAAGGCACCAGTTGCCGGTCTGAGCCAGGGTCAGACTGAGCCAGTACATACCGCATAAAGAGGAGGATCTACTGATACCGGACAGACAGACCATTACTACGTGCGAGTGTACAGAGAGCAGCTGGGATTTCTGAGAAACCCAAGAGAAAAACAGGCAGTTGAACCCCCCCCAAGTCCCCAGATCACATTAAACTTAGCATCTAACTACCTTAGACTCCTTTTACAATGCCAGCCCTGAGTACTCTTGAGCTGATGATCATTAAGAAGCATTATTAATTTCTGGACTAATTTCTGCTTCATATGCTTTGCTAGCTCATTAAAGGCCATACAGTTACCTGGGGATGATAATGGCATAATTTTAGCAGCATCTCTAAATCTTCACCTTTTCAAAATTTTTGTATTTTCATGTTTGCAAAAATCCGCAGCAGCAGCAGTTTTGCATCAGGTAGTACAATTCTTAAGGGCTGCTTGAATATTCAATGATTTTTGTTCCAGTTCTCATGGAACTGGCTAATCCGTTCTACAAAAATTAAATAGCGCACGCAGGGGCACCTGAAACTTTCCTTGTCTGGGCAGATTTTGCAAAGACTCGGTGTCTAAGAGTGTTTCAGGCTGCGGTTCAATATTTACTGCAAATACCAGAGATAGGGGTGGATTTGCTGTGAATTTTATAGGCAAATTGCAGCTGACTCAGGCCAGCTTCAGGAGCTGGGGAGTGAACAGTGACGGATGCTGTTTCTCCCCGAGCCACGCCTGGCCTCCCTCTGTGGGAAAAGGGAGGTGAAATCCTGGCCTCCTCCTGTCTCTTCTCCTAAGACTGAGCTGTCTGAAACCACTGGTTTGGCATCAGACCACTTCATCGTCTGGTCAAGATTCTTCCCTGGGAGCACAAGCCTTTGCATGTTTCTTACTCAGAATGGAAAATTACTGCAAATTAACAAATGCTTTTCTTATACGCACACATACATGCATGTAATATATGTTTGTACCTATACATATTCAGCGATGCACTCAAGTTCTGTTTGTAACCAAACACCAAAGTGAGTTCAGATTTGCTGCCAAATC